TCGACAATCGAATCAAATTGCACGCGAAGAAGGAGTCGCGCGATTCGCACGCTCGAACTTCCTTCTCTCTTAGGCGTGTGTCACGATTGGGACCCGACTCGCGCACGAAGTATCACAGTATTTATTTCTATATTGTTTTTATTTTACTCTTTTATTTTATTTCGTGTGTATACGTACGTATAATACGAGAGGTGTCATCGCAAAACCAGCAATTTAAATTCCAATTTCAAGCTTATAGACGTGTCAGAATTCGTATACGAAAAAAAAAAAAAACACAAATTTTCCCGACATGCTGCCATGTTCGAAACAGTTTTTTTCAATTCTCAAAACGCGAGCGGTTTCGCAATGACATCCCTCGTATATGCGCTTTGTTAGAAATTTATCAATTTTTACAAAATAGTGAATTTTCTGTGATACGCTACGACACGGTGTGTTTTTCAACAAAACGCGCGAATATATTTCGGAGTTGTTTATATTTCGGTTCGCGGATTAACATTTCGCAGATTGTGTCTTACACGATTTTTTTTTTTAATCGAACATTGTTACAGAAAAAAACGCGCATGTATATTCAGCGATTGAAAAACCAACGAGAGCTCGAAAGCGTCACTCGTAAGATATGAAAATAACATTCTACGCGCGGGAGAATAGAAACACGAGAAGTAAAAAAAAAAAAAAAAAATCCCGGCGCGGGCGGTGGCGGGTTAACAACCTTGTTATATAGTAATGACTTAGCACGCGAAGCTTCTCTTTCTCCGGCCATTTGGACGGACGGATCGCCACGGTCGTGGCAACAGGTTCGAACAGGAATAAACGTGCATTCGGGTGCGCGTTCGTCTATTCAAAGAATAAAGAGACGAGAGACCGCGTACGTGTGTTGAACGTGTTTCCTTTAAAAATCTATGTCTCGTCTCGAGAATATCGATTTTGATTTTAGATTTCTACAAACGGAAAAAGACGTCACATCGTTTCAACGTCAAACTTTTATTTGTTTAAGAAGAAGAAAACAGTTGATAAAAAATACTTGAATTCCTTATCATAATACGTGTTTTTCTTTCTCTTTGTTGACCACGAATTAAAAAAAAAAAAACAGAAAGAAAAACAAGCTGTCTTATTTGATTTCGATAAGTATAAAGTAATTTAAGTAATATATTACATTCCAATGTAATTACATTCTCTGCCCCGATTTTAATCAATTATTCTCGACTCAGAGTTTCGATATCAGAGTTCATTCCTTATCGGCATTCGTCAAAACAAAGTTTGGCAAGTCTGCGGTTTGTGTCTAAAGTTTTTTGGCCTTTAGACGACAAATTTCTTCTCTGAATGTTGTTATTGCGTTGACACACACGCGCAGTAATATTTAACCATCTCCTGTCTACTGCGTAAATGTTTGTTAAGTGAAACAGTGAGAATTTCGGTGAAATACTACGTACTGTTTTTTTTTTTTTATGCGCATATAAACACTTTATGATTACATTATACAATGTTTACCCCACGCGATGAATGTTTTATCATCCGTGTAAACTGATGTTTTATCAACCGTGTGTGTGTTATCAATCGTGCGATCGCGCGAATTCATTCACGAGTGACGAAACACGACGATTTGTTTCGTCCGAGCGACACACAGGTCGGTTTTGCGCATCGATCTTCTTATACAAAAAGAAAGAGTTTTTTACAGTTTGCGAAAGATTAAAAAAAAATTTAAATTTCTAATAAGATGGCGTATCCGGATAATATTGCGTGAAAGAGAAAAAAAGTTTCTACGGTTCAGAAAAGATTAAAAAAAAAAAAATAATTTAAATTTATAATAAGACGACGCATTTAGAGAAAGATAGAGAAAAAGAAAAAATCAGAAGATAAAAAAAAAAAAGAGATAACAAATATTTGGCGAATAATGAGAGGAGAGGAGTGGAATTTTAATATGTATTTAAACGCAATTCTTCCGTCGAACGGATTAATTGAAATTCGCACGGAGAGCGAGCAGGCTTTGCTTCCGCGAATTTTCCGCAAGGGGGAAATGATGGTTGATGATCGACGATGACCCCGTGCGGTGTGATCTCTCGAGGAGAGCGAATTGAGTGAAATTGGTACGGCCCTGGGGAGAGAACCGATCTTCATTTAATTCATTTGCGCTAAATTAAATTCGCGACTCTTCAGCCACGGTCATCAAGCTTATCTATTTCGACGTAAAAGGCGATATCACGACGATGACGACTGAAAACTGCGCGCGCGCGCGCATCTTCAAGGATCGAATAAAACTCAGTCGCTTTAATGCGCGACTTCGCCCGAACATACAGATCGGGTGACATTTTCGAAGGATGTGTGCAAGTGTCCGAAGCGTCTCTGACTCATAAATTTATCGAGATATGCGCGAAAGCGCATGAGGTAAGAAAGATCTTTAGTGAAATATATTACGACACTTATTTATGAGTCATATCTGTCTTTTTTTTTGTATACAAATCTTTGTTTAATACCTCACCTATCTCAACACGTCTCAAACGCATGTTGATTTACATGATAATAAAACGGTGATAACGCCTCGAGAGGTTTTTCCTCGTCAAAATAAAAATGAAAAAAAAAAAAAAAAAGGCTTGCTCGACGCAAAGAAAAAGAGAAAAATCTTTTGATATCTATGCAAGCGTATGATTACGTGTGGCTTTCTTTGCATTTAGCACGCGCTCGACATTCTTATCAGTTTGACACGTGTATTTACAATTACGAAGCCAAGATCGGTTTTTTTTTCTTTTTACTGCGTCGGAAACTATTCACGGCGCAGTAAGCCACGCTTACGCATTCGAATTAAAATTCAGTATGTCTAGGCTGTGTCATTGTATTGTAATTAATGGCGTATCGTCTTGTGCGTCGTCGCGAAAAAAATCGCCCGTGGTCGTCGCATTCCGCCGGGAATCGGCCGTATTTTGTTCAACGCTCGCCTTCGCCCTCACCTGTCCTTGATTCGCACCGAAACCGAAATGAGACCTTGATAACCACGACACGATCTGTCCGAGTTAAAATTTTTTTTTTTCTGCAACAAAAAAGCTACAAGAAAAACAAAACAAACTTGCGTTTCTCGAATCCGATTCGAAACAAGTAGGCCAAGAATCACATTGAACAATCGATACGTTTCTCTTTCTGTTTTATTTTTATTTTTTTTGTCATTATTGCGAGGAAACCAATCGCTTATTTCTCGCGTTATTGCGTCGCGCGCGACGCGTCTTCCAAATCCGAATCGCGCGCGCGTACTTCGCCGTAATGTTTCTCCGGCTTTCTTTCATACGCTTTCTAGAGTTTCGGAGATGTTGCTAAATCTGCTCTCGCGCGCATCTTCTCTTACGCCAGGCATCGTGTGTTCGGGAGAACGTTATTTAACATCTCTTCGGAGATGTCGTCGAACCTCGCGCAATACGCACGACCGATTACGAAGAGTTGCGTTATTTTCGGAAGTAACGATATATGTTCTCGGATCTCTCTCTCTCTCCCTCTCTCTCTCTCTCCCTCTCTCCCTCTCTCTCTTTCTCTTCCTCTTTCTCTCTCTCTTCGGGTCGGTATCGCGCGGGAGAAAGAGAGGGAGAGGGAAAGAAGAGCGTTTCACGCGCGACGTCGAGGAGCGAGCGTATACGGGAAGTGCAAAATATCGATCGCGTGCTGAACGGTAAACAAACACACGACGCCGTGCTCTCGTGCGCTTTGTTGTCGTTCGAGTTTGGTGAAAGTCTCGAACACGGACAGACACAATGAGAGAGAAAGAGCATATCCCATTCACATCGCAGCTTCGCGCAATATCGCTTTTGTGTTTGTCGTGATGATTCGAGTTCTCCGCAACACACGGCAAGAACAATGACAGAGCCGCGACAGAGAGAGAGATTCGAGGTCGCGCAAGCGCGACGCGTCGACAATCGAACGCGCTTTGCAGCAGCACCGTCGTCGATAAGCGCGCAACGAAATCGCAAGTTGTCGATTTTTAAGAGAGTCAATTTTGTGATACGAGATTTTTTATCCACAGAGACAATGCGATTCGCTTACCTCTATTTATTGATTTCTACTTATCTAGTGACAATATGGCGTCCTTGTTAGCGCAAGGATTTTATTTTATATCATAGAGAAACTTGAAAGTATAATACTTGATTATTCTCGATCAACGCGAGAGCTCCGGGTCGACGTTATCGCAACAGAATGAGACGACGCATGCGCCGGCCTGTACTTGGCGTGAGCATCGATGTGTGCGCAGGACCGATCATATTTGATGTCCCCTAGAAAAAATCAGGAACAAAGTTAAACGCGCTAATATAAAGATCGAGTTTCATTATCGAATATCGCTCTTCAACGGATGATTATAAACAAACGTTAAAACAAATAGTAATTATTTATCAAACTAAGCGCCGTACACAAGAAACGGGAGACAAAGGATCAGATAGAGAGAGAGTAGTAAGACGGACTGTGAGACGGATGATGAAATACCTGATTCGTATTTCCTAAGTACTATTTAATGACACTTTCTTCGTCAAGTTCGGGAGCGAAGCGCGCGCGTGTTCAAGTATCTATTGTCTCGGGGGATTAGCTCGTGCAAAACATTTTGTGCCGACCACTCGGGATAAAAAAAAAAGAAAAAAAAAAAACGACAAGAGAGGAAAATCGCTCGCAGAGCGATTCTTTTATTTCGGTGATGACAAATTGCCGCTTATGGTAGTAAGTTTTTTTTCTTTCCTTTTTTTCCTTTTGTTTTCTCTAAGCTCTATGATAAAGATGCGTTACGAGTTGATCCTAAGAAAACATTGTTCAGAGATAAACAATAGAAATTGCGTCCTGTGTGCCACAGTTCTCTCGGAGTCTAAATCCGTCACTGACGGGACGACGTCGCGAGCGCCACGGGTCGCGGCGGCGGCGTCGACTGGAAACCCCGGATGGTCTCTCCCCACCACGACCGACTGAACCAATCGGACGTTCTGTCCACCGTGCTAGGCCGTAAACAGCTGGCGACGCTGCTGCTTTGCGTCAGTGCGAAACGTAGAACGGGACGATGCGGAGGTGGTCCGCGCGTCACCTCCTCCCCCTTCCAATCCTGACGAGATCCCCGACGACCGATGCGGTCAGCCAACATTCAGCGTAAAGCCGTCGTTAATTTAAGACCGACGTCACGTCTCGTGTCGTCTTAAATTTGTTGTTCGTTCAACGACGACCAGAATCGAGGCGAGAGTCGAAACAAGCCGTGGGGAAAGCGAAGTTTCTTTGTTCGGAAACCCAGACGGTTCTCTGCGCATAGACTGGCGACACGCACGGCGCAGCGCTGTTTGTGTTTGTGTGTTCTCGCGAGTTTGCGTTCGGTGCTCTCTCCGTTCGTTTGTCCCATTTCGACAGACGGACATCCGACGAAATATATATTATACATATTGCGGGATTTATACTTGCGGTTGCGTTTACGTAGCTCCCGAATTGTGTAAATCTCCCGATCAGAGATTCTCCCGAGCGTCCGAGTGTCGTCGCGTCGTAAAACAAGGAGAAAGACGAGGATACGTCGGTGCGTCGCTCGTATCGGAGTGGCGAACGGAAAAGAGACGGAGAGAGCGCGGCGAATACGGTGGCGTAACGCGGCGCGCGAGTGCTTTGTTTTGCCGAGCAGCTGATCCGTGCGGCAGCAGCTTCTACGTGCGAACGTCGAACGACCGACGCGTCGGCGTTTTTTTTTATCCGACGGCAAATCCGGTGCGAGATTCGCGCTTCCGGAACGTGTTGTGTGCGCGCACTCCGACGCGCGAGTTTCTTCTCTCCTCAAGAGAGCATCCCGTCGGAACCCGAGAACAGGAAAGAAAAAAAAAAGACAAGGGTTCGCGTTACGCCGTTGGAAAGAGAGGCATCCTTTCTCCGCACGAGAGCGTCATCGAACCCTTCGTCGGGACAACGCCGACTCTTTGTTTGCGGGACATTTAATAAAACACACGAGCAAGCGGCGGCGGCGGCGGCGGCGGGTTGGCCCGAATCGATCGCCGGAACTTCGAACGTTTGTTGATTTCCATGAAATCGAACGTCGTCAAGTATCAATAAAAAAGAGCGCGTTATCGATCTCTTCGTTAATCTTGGACATTGCTCGAGGATCGGAGAGGTTTCCTTGAAGAAAAGAAAAGAAAAAAAAAAAAGAAAAAAAAAACGACTCTTCTTAGAAGAAACACCAGAGAGACTCTGCGATTTTAAAGGTTTCCTAAGGAACTTAGAGAGTGCCAAGCTTTGTAAATCCGTCTGTGTCCACTCGGTGCATTTATAAAACGGGCCGCGCTCGATCGAATGAGCGTGGTGTGACGTAAAATACGGTCGCGCGTATATACGTGCCGCGTCGCAACGGAGAATTTGTGTTGTGACACAAGAAACGCGCGCGGATCGACCCGGCGCGTTGCGTGTTGCTCGTCTGGTCTCTTCGCGTACGGGCAGAAACAGAAGAGATAAAAAAAAGGAGTGAATCTTTGGGAGCAAATTTTTGTTTTTTTTATCTCTCCAAAGTAATCTTTCTCCGTTTTTACGTTTCTCAATTATCCGGAGAACAAAGAAAAGCGACGACGCGCGCGCGCGAAGCCGAGACGACGAGGTGACGAGTTCGTCGTCGAAACAAACGGAAAACATTCCTGCGAAATTCTGGATGATTCTCTGCGACGCGGCGTTGCCATCAGGTAGCTGGGCCAGGTCTAGGGACCGACGACGAGGATCGCAGTGATCGATGCGGTATAGTCCTGAGGGGGCCGGCCTCGCGAACTATCGAGAACGTGGGGTACGGCCCCGATCGAGCTGACTAGGGGAACCCTCGAGGCCCGAAGGTCTCCCGACTGGGCACCCCGAAAGCTCCAAATTACCAAGTCTTTGTTCTCCCTGCTACTAACTGGGATTACCACATCACCAGCTTCAAGATGCTGTACATATTTCACGTTGACACCGGCACCACCATCACCTTTGACATCAAGCTGGCCCTGCAAAGGTAAATTACTCTCATTATTTTCAATTTGTTCAATTTATTTTTATTCAAATTTATTTTTATTCAAATTTCGTCACATCGCAACTCGCGAATATAACGCGACAATACGATTGAGGACGACACATTGAACATTCGGTCCGTAACAGTTTCTTTTTTTTTTCCTTTACTCGCGTAAAGAAAATAACTGCACATTGTGTGTCGATAATTAGCGACAATAACGCGCCTATTAACAACGTTGCGATGTTATTAGCGCGACGTTTAGCGCGAATAATAATAATAACGCGAATCGCGACGCGCGAATTCAAGGATCCCGTCGAAGGTTCGCTAATTGCAGAAAAGCATATTGTAAAGCGCGAGCGAAACGAGCGTGAACGCATGAAATGTGTACGTGTTGTTATTAAACGCGTTCGTACGTGTTTTCGGAATCGCGCGAACGCGCAAATACTTTCGCAGATGGTTCGCGCCGAAAATACATGGAAGTTAGTAATATAAACGAAACGAATTTTCCACGACGCGCGTGGGTGTAGATTGGCTCGTGTCGCGCACGAGTTTGACCCGACGGGCAAAACTCGGCCAAGCTCTCGATGCGTACGACACGTGCGCATGATGCAAACGAGCGCCGATGTTTCGATACGGTTGCTAAAACGAGAAACGATCGTCTTTTCTTCGACTTTCTATCTGCAAACGTGTGTGTGTGTGTGTTGTCCCACAATCGATTCCGTGTGATGTTCAGAGTCACGTTTAAGTCTGCGTGAGACGACGTTTTTTACTGATCCATCGATCGCCTCTGATGTGCAAATATAAAATTTTATTTTCCAAGAAGTTTCGATTGCTTCTTCTAAGCAGCAAACAACTTGAATGGATTTATCTGCATTATTAAAATTAAGAAACAAACATATCTTGCAAATTAAATTCTAATTAACACAATTAGAGGTCAGCAATTCAAAAGAAGAATATTAAAAACAACGTGTTGTTAAAAATCAGAAAAATATATTTTTGTCTAAAAAAAAAAAAAAAAGAAAAAAAAAGTGACTTATGTAATACGTTTGAGATCCTATCGCGAGTCGATCACTTTTATTGACTCGAGATAGCCTAAGCACACCAAGTTTAAATATAAAATATTTGCTCGAATAGAAAACATACTATCGATCTATTATATTTTTATCAAAGCGTATTTTTGCGTTTACGTAACGTTACGTTCGTTTATGTAAGATCACCTTTTTTTTCTCTTTATTTCCTCTTCGCGTATCGACGTTGCACACAGCTCTCGGGTGATAGATAATGGAGTCGTTTCCTAGCGACGCGTTTAATAAATGCGTCGGAAAGCAATGATTGCGTATATTTAATGCACGCGCCGTTTTTCTTCTGAATGCCATTACGCGCACGCTTTTTATAATAGAAAAACCACGCGCGCGCGCGCGCGCGCAAATACTGAAGATATATTATTGGCCTGCGTCGTATTTTAAATATCTCTGCGACGCGCGTGCCGAATCGCGCGCGTGTCGCACAAACGCAAGCCAAGCTTGCTGTAATGCGCGACTAAGGGAGCACAAAGTTTACACAAAGACATTGTTCACGTTTGTGACGTCAGTGGGTCAATTGAACAAAAACAAAAAAAAAAAAAACATCGCCCTGACGCCGCGTTTTTTTTAAGACTGATCAAAGCGGTTGCGCAATTAATGGTACAAACGACCGACCACCTCTGTAAATTCGAGTTAAACGCACGTTCGGATTATAATTGTCGTGTTCGCGCGATTTTACACGCGAGCTATCGCCGAACTCTCTCTCTCTCCCGGTAGCGAATCGGTATATATTCCGAGGGATTACGATCGCGTCGGTCGTCGGCCCCGCTCGTCGCAGCAATTAACGATCTGTGTCAATTCGCGCCCCCCTGTTCCGATTTGTGTCTTTATTCGTCGCGTCTGGCTTATAGCGATCGGAGGCTGCTGCGCGTTTAAGCGTGAATGAGTAAATACTCGACACGGCCTAATTGCCAGCGTCACGATTAACCGCGCGATCATCGTCATCGGCAAGTGGTAGGTACACCGGCTGTCTTGCCGATATTATATTCGTTCGATCACCTTCACTTTGTTTGTTTACGCACTCAAATAAGAAATGTCTACGCACTAGAAATGAATATCACGCGAGCCAACGCGTGACACGTTTATCAGCAAACACGTGTAATGAATTATTCATTTAGTTTGTTCACAATTTTTAATGCGCGCGAACGTGTACGAAAGGTATACTAGAGAATTTCGATCAGATAGATAAAAAGGATTTGAGTAAAGGACGTAGAGAGATGACGAATACTAGAGAGAAAATAAGATCAACTGCTGATGTTAATTAAAACTATTAAAACTTAAAAAAACAAAAATCATAATTTTAACACGGGAGAACACATTCTTTGTCAGAGAGCAGGAATTATTTTTCCATATCTGGCAGACGCAAATGGATTAAGTAATAATATTTCGGTATTTTAATCTTGAATATTTGTCAACTTATCTTGCACGTCGCATCTCTCTTATTGTTACGTGCTTGAAAAACGATAAAATATCTTCTCATCTGCTAATCAAAAGAGAAAAAAAACAAACTCCTTAGCAAGAGCGAGGTGACACCTCGACGAAATCGCGAGACCGAATGGTCGCTGCTTGCGTGCACGCGTGAAATACGAGCCGCGCCGCGTGACGCGCGTAACCATCGACGACACGCAGTCTCGAAGTGTAGCGCGGCGCGCAGCTGAGCGTCGTCGTCGTCGTCGTGTGCCCGTAGTCGCGCTTATATAGCGCACAACGCCACAAGTGACTTGGCAATGTTTCGCTCTCGCGTACGTTTTCTCGTGCCAGCACAGCAGCACAAAGCGCGCTCTCGAACAACGCGGCACCAGCTTCGTTCCAATGAAAATTATTTAGTATTTTTTTTTTTTTATTGTTTCGACGCACACAAGATTTCTCATGTTTCAAAATTCTCCTCAAAAAATTCTGATTAAAAGTAAATTATGTAAAATAAATTTTTTTTTTCTGTTAAACAAACAGAACAATATTAGAGATGCGAGAAGAAGATATCAGAGTTTTTTTGTAAAAAAAAAACAAAAAAATCTCAATCGGGCAACTTTATTTGCTGGCTATATATAAGTAACTTCTTGCTATTCTAGCTAAAACTTTTTTCACCGCGTGACAACAATATAACAAGGTTCTCTTTACAATGCATCGCGCGTATATCGTTCTTCGCTTTGAGGAACACACCTTTCATCCGTTAGTCAACCTTACGCAGGATGTTAACGACGTGCTATTTCAGTTTCTTTCGCGCGTCATTTATGACCGACGTTCTCGAACGTGTGGGATCTTTTGATTTTTTTTTTTCTTCTTTTTTTAAGTGTGTCGTAAAACGCGCGCGTATTATCGATTGATGGCTAATGATGTCCGTAAGATACCGGATTGTGCTCTCTCAATTTCGCGAGTAATATCCGCGAGCGATTTCATCACGCGATCCTAATCAGTCAGTCTTGATGTCGATCGCGAACACGAGGCGTGATGTTAAACGATCATTTCAGAAACAGAGAAAAGAATGGAAAGATTGGAAGAAGAGATAAAAATCGGAGAACAACTGAAAAGATCATTGCGGAGAGGACAGAAACTTGAATGAGATCCGCGTGTAAAAAATTACAAAGATAATTCGCTTCTTCGCAATTATGTTAGTTTTTATCGAGTGTTTGTTTTTTTTTTGTCGCATCTCCTCTCGGCGCTTTTTGCATCGATGCACTCGAGCTGCACATGATTGAGTGGCGGTCGTTTAATTATTCTCATGCAGATTTTCCACGCACATACACACACACACACACGCACGTGTTGTGTGTTGGCGTTCTTTAAATAAAATCCTAGAGCGCTATATATCATATCGGGAATTAATAACAATCTCGCGCGCTGTATATCATCGGAATATATCAAACAAGACTTCGCGAAATCTCGCGCGCCTTATCTCTCGCGCGATATTATTACGCGAGCTGTCTCCTGTATAAGTTGTGTTGCGCGCATAAATTCGCAATATGTATACACGAGCAATTTGACGAGATCTTAAATGCGCGCTCGATCGCTTCTTCTCTTTTTTTCTCTCTCTCCTTATCTCTTTGCTGCTGCCGCTTGTTGCTACATATCCGGCGATGGAAAACGCACCATCCGGTAATTACGTTCGCGGTATGGGCTCCTTACGGAAATCAGGTCATATCGTCTAACAAACCGCCTATTGAACCAAATGCGATGCTTTCTTGGCCTAAAGGCGCGATATTGCCTTTGATAAAGCCGTACAGAAACTTTCTCGATAGAAGATCAAAAGAATTTCTAAGTAATTATCAAAGGAAGGAAAAGCCGCGTAGAAAGACAGAGAGAGAGAGAGAGAGAGAGAGAGAGAGAGAGAGAGAGAGAGAGAGAGAAAGAAGAAGACAGACTGTTAGCGGATACGAAGATTTACTGTATATATTCCGACACGCGTCATTCAAACATAAAAAAAACAAAAAAAACAAAAAAAACAAAACAAAATCCTATTCTCTTGCCAATCGCTCACGCGCAGTTTGACTTTTGTGTGTGCAGCGTCAGCCAGCTGATGGAGGCGATCGAGAGAGAATGCGGCGTGGTAGCGGCGCATCAGGTACTGCTTATGAGCGGAGGCGAGTGCCTGGAACCGAACGCGCGCGTGTGCTCCTACTCAGCTGGAACCGATACGAATCCGATCTATCTGTTCAGCAAGGCCGCCATTGAGAACAACCTGCCGCCCACGCCGAGTATAGATTACGGTTCTGGTAAGTAACGAGCTATACATATATATATATATATTGCATCTCTTTTTTCTTTTGTTTGTGCGACTCTTTTTTTTTCTTTCTTTTTATCGTGCGCGACTTTTTATCATGTGAAATGCGGATGATGATTTTTCAGCGATAGCGCGCGGACAGCTTACATGCGCAATACGCATGCTTTTGCATTTTGTTACCAAGCGGCGAACAAACGCGAAGTAAATGAGTTTCGGTTTCGAGTTTTGTTCGTATGTGCTTATGTGTGTTTTTTTTTTTTTGTTTGCCTTCCTCTCTTTTCATTTGAAATGCAACTGTACATAAATGGCGTTTTGTAATTCTCGCGTTTGAGCAAATACAAAGCGCTGCCGCGACTCTCTCTCTGCCTCGTGCCGAGTGAATTTCCGGACAAACGAGCGCGATCGGTCGCCACCGTGACCCGACCTCGAGCATTAATAATAATAATGATAATAATAATAATAATAATAATAATATATAATATATATTAAATAATTATATATAATATACATTAATAGTAATAATAATTTTACGGCAATGTTATTACGGAATAGTGCCAATAGGGTTTCGATCTCAATATTGCAATCTCGGTTTTTTGCTCAAATAGAGATCCGTGCGCGCGAATGGTAATTCTTTTTTTTTTCTTTTTATAGCACCGATACTTAACGAGATGTGTGTTGCAGGACAGCAATTATCAGCAATATATATCAGCAATAACACACATACGCAACTGATTACGCTTTCGTAACACTTCTAGTTTAAAAGTTAATAGACAGATAGTTCTCCGTATATGCGCGCATGCACACACGTGCGGGCACTTATCTATCTATACCAGCTTCTCGTGACAAACCGGTTTTCTTCTCGCAGTGGAGCGCGATAAATTCGTGAACTCATTGGTGATGTCAGCGATAACGCGACGAACGAACGAGATACATCATCAATATATACCCGATCGGGTACGTCTATTCTCACGGCTTAATTTCAAGTGCGGCGCAAAGGCAAATTGATTAGTTTCGATCGAGGTCAGGAGAATCCGAGATTCTCTCACGTTACGTTGATACGAATCGTTTGTTCGCGGAAAAACTACAAGGACGACGCGCTAATGAGCCTCGTTGTAATCAGTGCTGCAATTTTTTGTCCAGTTTTTTCACTTTTGACTATTGTTGTACAAACCAAACATCCTGAAAGCGACACACACACACACACACACACACACATACAATAGTCTTGCTTTTTGACACAAATGCGCCGCTGGTCCCGTCCCGTTATCCTTAATTTCCCAGATTTGAGCTGAACTCGGTAATGCACGCGCGTTGTCCCATTTCGTACTTTCTTCTATTCACGTCTTTGTTTTGTACCGTTAGATTACCGTGTGCCCGCGACGTTCGTTTCATTACTCTGTATGTGTGTTCGCTATTTCTTTCCATCTCTCTCTCTCTCTCTCTCTCTCTCTCTCTCTCTCTCGATCGCGCGCGTACGATCAAAGCGCGAGCTATGATTTAGCGACACGCATACTTGCGGTGGGTCGCGTGAGTTCCTCTATACACACCCCGCTCGGTGGATTTGACCGCAAATCGCGAGGCCGATACGAGGCACACCACGAGGGGGGAGGGGGTTCGATCTGGCAATCGAACGATCTATAGCCGTAAGTAGTATGAGCTATGCCAAGTTTTTGTTTTTTACGGAAAAAGAAAAAAACCGAAGACTTGAATGTCGGTTGTAAGCGGATCGCGATCACGCAACGCGAATTCACACGTTCAGACGTCTTGGAATATTAAACTCATCTAAATTTAGCTGTCGAGTGTGTGATGTTTTTTTTTTCTCATTTTATACACGCGCGGTAATCTCAAGCTGACAAGTGCGTTTTGTTCTTTGTAACAGCGCGAGGAAAAAAACCAAAGTGGACATCCGAGCTGATGCAAACGCAGCTTGAAGTAAATACACGGTTTGTTAATTGTTGCATTTCTTTCTCGGTGTTAATCGCGTTCTTTTCTTAGAACGAGCGCGATAATTGTGCAACAAAAAAAGAAAAGAAGATGTTACACTCGTATATTCCAAGTTAATTACATCTTCGGATGTCATTCATCACACGTTTCTCTCTCGGTTATTATATATATATATATGTAACTGGTCGTTTAGAATGATGCAGTGCCAGAAGACACAGAAAGTGGGAGCAAAGTATACGGGAAGGATTTAATTATTTATCACGGACCCCGTTATACCGCTAATTGGTATCAGAATGTGGCACGATGACACGCGGGATCGTCCGCGCGTTATGCATCCGATTAGAATCTCTTCTCGTCGCCGACTTCACGACTTGCCGCGGATGTCGTTACCGGGAGACATACTGAGAGAGAGAGCACTGCAAATCCAAGTGTGTTAATTTAACACACTTGACGTGTGTTTTTATTGAAGTCACTTTTAATACGTTTCTTAGTGTTTAAAATTGGAACACGCTTAATACGTGTTGATTTAACTCACTAAATTAACACGTTTTAAATGTATAATTTGTTGCGTGTAATAAACGACATATTATCGTATAAAAGTTTAGAAGCTCTACGTTTTCATAGGAGAACAGAATAATAATATTTATGTTCAAAAAAGCTGCAATATGAAAAACTTAGATGACTATGGTATAATAAAGTTTGTCATAGTGCAGTATTCTTTAAAAATATTAAAACATTATTATTTTGTTCTCCTAAGAAAAC